CAGCCAGCAAAGCTGGCTGAGGAATTCTGGGAGTTGAAGTCCACAGGTCTTAAAGTTGCCAAGGTTGGAGACCTCTGCATTACAGGATCCCATGAACTGGAGCTTCTCCAGAGAAGGAGAATGGAAGTAGAACCTTTTGCTGGCTCTTTCTATGACATCATACACACAAGGAGGTTTTAAAATTCCACAGGAAAAAAAGCTCTACACTATTTCAAGGAATGCCTCTTGTTCTAGAAGTCACTTCAGGTAACTGGCAATAATTGTTCCTACTTTTAGGGCATCTTTTCCCAACCTGAAGCCCTCCAAATGTTTTGGAAATGAACTCCCAACATTTTCAGCCTTCAAATCATGCAGACTGGGTTAGATTATTATTTTAGTTTCTGGTATTTTTGTTGCTTTGGAGCAGGGGTGTCAAACCTGCAGCCCACGGGCTGGATGCATCTTGTGCTGGCCCTGCCCCCACCCAGTTTAGTGAAGAACATTTCCCCTGATCTAAATAGGTTGTAAAATCTGTACATTATTAAATTGGTGGATACCTCAGGCAGTTATTAAAGGCAATTTTAGAAAATTAGGGAGACCAGTAGTTGTAGTTCACATTCCATGTAGCTCTATAGTTATCTGTACTATGATTTCTTCAATTAAATCTATAAGATAGTCCTCAACTTACAATAGCTCATTTAGTCACCACAGTTACAATGGCACTGAAAAAAGTGACTTATGACCTTTTTTCATGCTTATGACCACTGCAGCATCCCTATAGTCACATAACCAAAAGTCAGATGCTTGGCAACTAGTTCCTATTTATGACAGTTGCAGTATCCTGGGGTCATATGATCCGCTTCTGCAACCTTCTGATAAAGTTCAATGGGGAATACATATTCACTTAACCGTGCAATGATTCACTTAACAACTGTGGCAAGAAAGGTCATAAACTGGGGCAAACTTAACAAATGTTTCACTTAGCAACATAAATTTTGGACTCAATTGTGGTCATAACTCAAGGACTACCTGTATCTGGGTTAGCACAATACATCAAACCATCAACTAACAGCAGATTAGGTTTGTAGGACACAAGGACTCTCAAATTAGGCCCAGCACATTATAGCCTACTGGTGGGTGAGAATACAGCCAGGGAATCTGAAATTTACAAGCAAAAGAGGATATTACAGACCAAACAAAGACTCCTGTTTACTCTTGCATTTCCTCAGTTTAGGATACTTCTTTCCTCTGGCCATGAACAGAGGGCCATTCTTTTGTTACCAAGCTGCCCGAAATTATTCCACACTTGTTGTATAGTGTGGATAGTGTGCAGTTTCCAGATAGATTTGGCTATATTTGTATTTTTTCCACCTTGTATTAATACATACTTTGGAACTAGCAAGGATAGGAAATAGATGTTTTACATCTCTTCCTTGAGTTAACATATCCAATCTGGCTTTAATAAGCACAGATAATATAGGTGCAACTTCCCAACAAGTTTAACAAAAGTCAGCTAGATGCTGCCACCCACCGATAACCTATATTCCTATGTAAATATGGTAGGGGGGAAATATCTCATTAAATATAATGGATTTCTGAAAGATTATGCCCAAAAGAGAAAAGCAAATTAATGGGTTATCCTCTCATTACATTAAATACACGTATAGCCAATAAGGAATAATTCTTTAATTGAAAAAGACAAGTCAGATAAATGGCTACACACCTGAGAGAACTTCATAAACACTCTCCTCATTCTGCATTACATGTATTGCATTATAAGATAGGTAGCTGGGTGTCTGTCAAATATCAGCTCAAGCTACCTTTTTAACATACATGCTAGAAATGGCAGTCTGTGTAGACTCGGAGGCACCCTTCTCTCTTGTTGCTTTAAATATGTTGAGGCTCTGGGTGCTTTGACAGTTAAGGCCAAGGCCTCTCTCTACTGGGAGAAAGATCAGTCCCTGCAGGTAAACTGAAGGCTTTTCTCTCATTTTCAACTTTCCGCTTTTCAGGGCCTTCTGAATGAGGCCTCTGCTCGGCCTAGCTCTTTCCTTGCTAGTCCTGCCCGCCTTATGCGATGACACAGTGGCCGACGACATTGGGACCCACATGATGGCTCGCATCTCGGAGCTCCTGTCCCCGGAGGAATGCCAGGCCTTCCTCCTCAAACTCCTGGGCCCCGAGGAGAACGTGAAGGACGAGCTGGAGCGCCTCTCCGAGAAGAACAACCCCATCGGCCGTCGACGAAAACGAAGAAGGCGCCGCGACATCCTCACCACCGCTCAGTGCAAAGAGACCCTGCAGCAGTGGCTGGAGACGGAAGGAGACACCATGTACTGGGATCGCTTGTCCCGGGCTCTCCAGCTGATCGGCCGCGCCGACGTCTCGCTAGAACTGGGCAAGAACCTCAACCAGGACAAGAACCTGGAGATCAAGAAGAACGTGGAGGAGTACCACGAGACGGTGAAGCACCTGACCTCCTCGCTGCTCCTGGACGAGGGTCCGCAAGGGAGCGCGCAAAGCCGGCAGCGGCGCCAAGGCCAGGGCTCCGCGGCGGCGCCGCTCGAGCAAGACGAGTGGGACGGGCTGGAGCTGATGGTGGAGCGGAAAGCGCTGCCGCCTTACAACCGGAGCCTCTTTGAATGGGCTACGCCTCTGGCGACGGGCGTCCTCAGCGGCTTTCTAACCTCCTTCATCCTGGTGGCGCTGGCGCTCTACTCTTTCGTCTGGATCCTGAACGAAGGCAGCAGCCCCAGCTCCACGCCGTTTCCGAGCGACCCCTTGCCCGCCATGATCTTACTCCCACCTCCCACCAGCCGCGGAGGCATCTACTACTCGTTTGAGCACCTCGAAACCTACGGCAGGGAGTCGGGGGACGATGAAGACGAGGCCGAAGAAACCTTACGCTAAGCCGCAGCCAGGCAAAGCCGGCCTCTCTTCTGAAAAGGGGAGACAATAAAGGCGGCTCGTTTATTTTGCCTGATCTGAATGCTCCTTGGGCACCAGGCGGGGCCGTTCCTTCCTCCGCTAGAGGGGTTTCCCACTTCTCCTTTCTTACTTCCTCATCACTGCAGCATGGAGAGCAGTGGAGTGAAAAGTCTCCTTGGCTTTGATCCTATCTTGCCTGTCCCAGTCTCCGGGTTGTTGTTTTTTGCCTCAGATGCAAAGGTGGGCAGGACACCAGTAGACCTAGAGGCTTTAGACTGGGGAGTGGGGGTTGTTTAGCAGATGCAAGTAGAATCCTTTTTAGGGTGCATCAGCTAACATTCCTGTGCTCCATTAAGGCAAAACTGCTGTCTCACTCTTCTATACCAGTGATTTTCAACCTTAGCAACTTTAAAAAGTGTGGACTTCCACTCCCAGAATTCCCCAACCAGCTGGGGATTTTAGTCTGCCCCCACCTCACCACCAGGTTGCTATAAAAAGCAGCCACTACAAATATACAGTGAAGAGATTTCCCACTACATTACAATCCTGTTTTGGGGTTAGTGTCTCAAGTACTTTAGCCAAACATTCATGTAAGATCTCTGATGGTCTGAGAAACAAAGAAATTGTTTCAAGCAGATTTTTTTCTCCAGGAACATACTCCACACTAGCAGCAAAACCCTGACATAATTGGATTCCTTTGGATCTCACGCTGCCATATTGGTCAAGGAGGGTTCCATCTGTCCCTCTGACAGTTTGTTCTGCTACAATAATTGTGCTTAGTATGCAATCCTCTTTGAAGTGCCAAAACTACTGGCTGAAACTTCCTAAGCATATGACATTTTGGTAGGCTTTCTCAACTCCAAACTAACCTTTAAATCCCTCTCTTGAATACCTTCTACTACCCTGTGGCTTTTAACAGGCTGTTAAGGAGATTCCTTTGCAGTTCCCTCATTTTTGAGCCAGCAGATTTGAAATTTTAAAAACAGGTTGTGGGCATGCTCACAAGATCAGTTGGCAATTACACACCAGAAGATACCCTCCTCCTTCCTGTCCCATAGACACTTTTAATTCCCTGGCTTTTTTGTGGCATTTGGGCTCACTTCCCAACCAAACACTCGGAGGCTGCTAACTTCTAGTTTTATTTTCTAAGCATGTTTGCTTTTTAGGTCTAAGTGAAATGAGTGGCACTGTTGGGTTTAAGGTCTGTTAATTAAAATAATTTTTAAGACATTTAATCAGATGAGGCATGGAAAACAAAGGCAAAGAAAATAAACCCAGAGGAGAGCAAAAAAAGAAATGGGCATCAGTTTTTCTTGCCAAAGGCCTGTGTGAAAAGCCAGGTCTTTAGGGACCTTTGAAATACTAGTAGGTTAGAAGCACTTTGTATTTTGGGGAAAACCTCATTCCAGAGGGCAGGCGCTATTCCAGAGAAGGCATGCTTCTGGGGTCGTCTCTAAAGATGGCAAATTTTAATCAGTTGGATATTCCTACGCCAATGTTTTCTGGGACAGATGAAGTTTCAGGGTTGTCTTCAAGGGGACCCCATATAGAGCATGTTCCAGTAGTCAAATCCTAAGATCATCAGGGCTTGAATGACTGATTATCTGAAGAGCACCTGTTTTAGTAAGAGGAGACTTAGCATACCAGTTGAAGCTGGGCAAAAGCCTTTCTGACCACATGCTCATGAGGCAATAGATGTGAGTCCAGGAACATCCCTAAATTACACACCATCTTTGAATGGGGAAGTCCAACCTCATCCAAGGTCCAAGCTGGAATATCTTCAGACCTGGGCAGTCTCAGCATCCACAACCACTTATTCTTGGTAAGATTGGGATGGGCTTTTCCCCATCCAAACCTGCGCAGCCTCCAGGGCCTGGGCCAGAATCTCAACAGCCTCACTTGGCCAACCCAGAGTCAAAAATCTATAATTGGGTTTTATCAGGCTGCTGATTATACAGAATCTCAAACTGATAGATGACCACTCTCCTGGGTCTAAGACAACTTACTGGGGGCAACTCATTGCGGCCATCTGTTGACCCATTCTGCTCTCCCTACCAATGAACACTGAATGGAACTGGCCCCGGAGAAAGGAAAGAAACCATCATAAAATAGTGTCCTCAATCTCCAACTCATAGAACCAGTTCTGGAGGATACTATGGTCAATGGAATCAAAAGTGATTGAGACAGTGGAGGGATTCAATTTTTTTTACTACCGGTTCTGTGGGTGTGGCTTGGTGGGCGTGGCAGGGGAAGAATACTGTAAAATCTCCAGTCAGAGGTGGTATTTGCCAGTTCTCTGAACTACTCAAAATTTCCACTACCAGTTCTCCAGAACTGGTCAGAACCTGCTGAATGCCACCTCTGGGTTGAGAGGTCAAGAAGCACAAGGATGATTGGACTGTGACCATTGACAAACAGAGCAGTCTCAGGACTAAATCTTGGCCTGAACCTTGACTGAAACGGGTCTCAATAATCCTGCTTCCTTCAGGATTCTCAGCAGCTGCAGACTGACCCCACCCACCCACCAACATTTCACCCCAAAGTACTAGTTAGTAACACATCTAAAATGATTGGGTTCTTCATGTTCTCTGAACTTGGTCCATTTGCTGCAGACATTTCATTACCAGACAGGGTAACAACAGTGCATGGGAGAATGATCTTCTGCTGTGTCAACTGTTCAATCCTGGAATTAAATTATTCTAACTACTGGAATATCCAAAATCTCTGTCAGACTGAAATGCCTCTCCATTTTTTAATAGCCACTTTGGATATCCACTCACGCCAAGGGCAGTCCAGAAATCTGTAGATTAAAATTTAAATAATCAGTAATTTAAATCACAGGGCATCCATACCCATGGAGGTATGTTGATGAATTATAGTAGATTACACAAGGAGGAACAGGCTGAATATTATTTGTTTATAAGATGGCATCCTGTTTCACTACTTTCCATTACTTGGATATAATTATTTATTTTTTTCAAAGCAAACAGGGAAACTCTGGTACACCTGGGCTTGGTAAAACAAACACAGTTGTTGATTCTTCTATCTTTCAGCACATAATTCAGTCTGCAAAGTATGCAGCTTAAAGCCACCACTGACTGTTTAAATAGGGTGGTTGCAATTTATTCAAGAGGTTTTAATATATTTTTTTCAGGCTGCTGAACTTATTAGTTTTAAAAAAAATCTCACAACCCCTGATCAAGAGCTTTAGAGATAGAAAATTGGCTGTGTTCAAGTGAACATTTTTTCCCCTGTAATCGCTCATAGAACTCTAGGGTTCTGCAAACAGTTCAAAAAAAATCCCTGCTTTATTCATTCCTCTTGTGTAAGTGCTATGGCTGGGATCTTAATTGGCCAAATACAGATTTCAAGCTTTTTCCCATTGTGTAACCTCTCAGGAATGGATCTGCCCCAACAATAACAAAAAAAGAGGGAAAATGTTTGCCTGCGATGTGTGCAGCTATAACCCAGGAGATCTATCATTTTAACATTGCAGGGGGGGGGGGGAAACAGTAGAACGTGGTTTGGGGGTGGAATCACAAACTGTGAACATTTTTTGCACTTCATTGCTCCTCTGTTTTTACATGATTATTCTCAACCACCTAACCAGATACGGTGACCTCAAATTTAGATGAGAGATGGAAAGCCATAATAAAGTGAAGTTTTTGAAACTTTTTGTTTTCTAATACTCTATTTCAGAAACGGGGATCTTAGACTCTTAATTTCTAATGGATCTAGAACATTAGGGTGCTTCTCCATTAGCTAAGCGGGTCAGAGCTACTAGAAATTTTAATTCATTAACTATTAAAGAGAGAGCTATTAACATTAATTACAGGTAGTCTTTGACTTACAATAGTTCATATAATTACCATTTGAAGTTACAATACTACTGAAAAAAGTGACTTATGACCATTTTTCACACTTATGACCATTGCAGTACCACCACCACCCTTGTCACATGATCAAAATTCAGGTGCTTGGCAACTGACTCAGATTTATGACGGTTTCAGTGTCCTGGGGTCATATGACCGACCTGCTGACAAGCAAAATCAATGGGGAAGCCAGATTCACTTAATAACCATGTTACTAGCTTAACAACTGGAATGATTCACTTAACTGTGCCAAGAAAGGTTGTAAAATGAAGCAAAAATCATTTAACAAAGGTCTCACTTAGCAATGGAAATTTTCAGCTCAATGGTGGTCATAAACTGAGGACTACCTGTACTAAGTTGCAATTGATCAACTACTTAAAACAAAACCATAAATGTAGTTTATACTATGCCCCACATGTATTTGGGTAAGTTTCCAAGACCCCTTAAAGCAGAAGTCTTCAAGCCCAGGGCCGTGGAGTGGTACTAAGATGTGGCCCATTGGGAACCAGGCTGCGCAAGTGGTGAGCAGGAGTGCAAAGATTCATTTGTGCATGCGTGGGATTTGGTTGTGTGCGCAAAGCCATTCCCTCCACTCTGCCCCACTGCTGCCAATACCATTGCTACCCCTGCTAGTCCGTGGAGCCGGAAAGGTTGAGCACCACAGCCTTAAAAGTATGAGCTGGCAGACATTTACAAAATATTTTTTAAAAAAAAAAACAGAAAAAAGTATTATTTAGCATGCAAAAATAAGACAACGGAAAGATATCAGTCCCCTTGCCCATTGGGATTGGTATGCTAGCAACATCATCTGGCATAAATCAAAACAGAGGCAGTAGAGCAGGGGTTCCCAACCCCCTGGCTGCAGCCCAGTACCGTGCTATGGGACATTCAGAACTGGGCCATGGAAATGGCAAGTGAGTGTGCATGTATGCACAGCTCCGTTTGCGAGCTTGCTCACCCCCCACCCCCATGCAGAACCATCCCCTCTCCCCTCCCCCCATCCACAAAACCAGAAATGTTGGGGATTGTTGCATAGATGCTGGGAGGAGGAAACAAGTGGGCAATTGTCCCTTTAATTCATAATGGCAAAAGTCCTAAAAGATCAGGCGATCAACAGTTGCAAAA